ATAAAAGCTATTACTTGGGTAACATAAAAATAGGCTGGACAAATATAGACTGGAAAGAGGCAGGTTGTTTCAGTGTTCACTCTCTGTAATGTGCTTTGTGTAGTATAACAGGAGAGACTGTGATGGCAGGGTTTACTGTTTTCAGGAGGATTCTTGCTAAGACTTCGGAGATGGTGAAGCTGCCGTTGTTTTGTTTAATTGTATTCGGAATAGCGATCAGTGCTGATTCGAGGCACTTGCGTCTGTGGAAATTAGTTTCTTTGATCACTAATTGGGCGTCTCTGAATTTCATGAGATGATTGGTGGAATTTCGGTGTTGTACACCACCAATCATCTCATGAAATTCAGAGACGCCCAATTAGTGATCAAAGAAACTAATTTCCGCAGACGCAAGTGCCTCGAATCAGCACTGATCGCTGTTTGGAATACAATTAAACAAAACAACGGCAGCTTCACCATCTCCGAAGTCTTAGCAAGAATCCTCCTGAAAACAGTAAACCCTGCCATCACATAGTCTCTCCTGTTATACTACACAAAGTACATTACAGAGAGTGAACACTGAAACAACCTGCCTCTTTCCAGTCTATATTTGTCCAGCCTATTTTTATGTTACCCAAGTAATAGCTTTTATATCCTTTTACTCATGTACGAATTAATTGCTCTACCATATTGTATTACTTTTGTCACTACTACTACTACTACTGCTACTACTACTACTACCACCACTAGTGAACATCGAAATGGTACCTCACTAGTATTGCACCTCACTCTGAGCCTTTATATACCCTCTGTGTCCATGTATTGTTTGTAATGGCTTGATAAAGCTCCTGGAGAGCGAAACGTTGGCACAATAAAATGTCACATTAGTTGCACTTGTGTCCTTTTACTTTACACAGTATTATCTTGCTTACACTCCAACAGCACGTTGTATCCCATAGGTCACTTCTCTCCACTCGCCCCAATCAAACATTCTCACACTTGCTTACTAGATCCTCAAGTCCCTACCTTTCAGAGCAAGCCTCCAACCCTCCCAGAATTGTCTTCTGCACCTCCTTCCATCCACCCCATATTTATAAGCTCAATTGTCAGCATTTCTTTGTTTCATTTTTAGATGACCAAACCACCTAAACAACCCCTCTTTTCCACTTTCATTACTGTGCAGTAGACCTTTCATTTCATTGTTTCCTAATTTTTTTTTTTTTTTTTTTTTTTTTTTTTTTTTTTTTTTTTTTTTTCTCTCTCTCTCTCTCTCTCTCTCTCTTCATAATACTCATACCAGAGCAACGTTTATACTCCTGCCTCATAGTGCAGGCATTGTACCTCCCAGTTCAGTGCATACACTTTAAAGGAAGGGTTTAGGATATTTGCTGTTTGAAATGACATCTCAACTATTGTATCTGCATTCCTCTGCAAAGACAGTGATGTGTGAATGATGGTTAGTTTTTTTTTGGGGGGGGGGGAGGATCGTCCTGACTCGGTGGGAGATGACCAGCATGTTAAAAAAAAAAATTATACTATGACATTCTTTTGTTTTCAGTCGTGAAAGCCATGGGAAAAGAAAATGCTAAATCTCTGGATGAAGAAATGCAGGTAACACCATCAGAAGAGTCAGAGGCTCAAGCAACTCCTGCCAGCACTTCTCTTCGAGCCCTCTTAAAAAAGAATGTTATTCCACCCAGATGGATGCACCAACGCAAAGCCAAGAAAATGAGGAGACAGCAAGCAAATAAAGCAAAGAGAATAAAAAAGTAATATAAAGCAGTTGTTTATCCAGTCCTCATAATGATTCCATATTGAAAATGTAGATTTAGGACTTCTTGAAATCCAGTTAATTTGGTAATAAAATTTCTTGTATCTGTTATACTGTATGTATGTGTAAATCTACAGTATGCATGCATGTATAGTACGTACTATTTGTCTGTGCAGGGGTTGAGTCAGCTCCTGTACAGTACATACGTACAATTTTATTTAATCAAGGGAAGGATTTACAGGGTTCATGTCTGGGAATGGCAAGCAGTCAGGCTCAAAGACAGGATAAGTCCACTTCCTTAGATCAAGAGCACATTACCAGCATCAAGGATAAAATAACATTCTGATTCTATGTACAGTATAATGCATACACTACACACAGTGCTGTTAAATGTGTATCCATTGCTTCTAGCCTTCTTGCAACAGTACCCAAAGTGCATGCCTCACACCCATATACTAATTGTGTTGGTACCACTAGTCTGGTATAAATATAGTAATGTACCAGATTAGTGGTACTGATACAATTAGTATATTATACCAGACTAGTGGTATACATTATGCATAGAATCAGAATCCTATTTTAGCCTTGATGCTGGTGAGGGGCTCTTGATCCAAAGAACTGGATTTATCCTCCTTTTGAGCCTGATTGCCTGCCATTTCTCAGACACTACATGAATCCTATGAATGAGTGCTAACCTTGATTAAATAAAATTGTACATATGTACTGTACAGGAGCTGAGACTTCCAGTGCACAGACAAATAGTACATAATACATGCTGTAGACAGTACATCTATATTAATGGTATACAGTACTATTGAGTAAAAACATGTACATTCATCAAAGCTATGAGCACCAAGGCTGAGGGACTGACCCTCAAACCTGCTTCTGGCTCTTAAATTTCTGCTGTCTCCTTTGTATTTCTGCTGAAGAAGCCTGCTGAACAGGTAAAACATCTTGTCAATAAAGATACCCAGCTGGTGCATACGTGTCTTCGAAGGGGGGTCCTGACCCAGCTTTTTTTTTATAGCACTTCAAGGGAAGTTTCTTGATCCTGATGATTTAGATTTTGCCACCGAAGTGGCTAGTTTATTGTGCACCCCATATCCATCCTGTGGACGGTAGCGCAAGAGCATATGGATACACAAAAGCCCTAGGAACTAGGCCCCAAAGGGTTAACAGGACTACATATGGATTTATATCTACATATCTATAGTTCACTTATCTATTACAAGCAAATTTATCAAATTTGTTTTAGTATATCTGGTATCTTATTTTCATTAATAAGATATTTTGACACGTCACATAGGTTATTATACTGTCTATCTCTGTATTTCTCAATAAGTGGACAATTAAGCACCTAGTGTTCAAGACAGTGACCATATGCCTGATCACATAATTTACATTTAGTTCGATCATCATCTGTGTGTCTCCCAAACTGCCAGAAGTACTTGTAACCAAGCCTAAGCCTGGCCACTACAACATCAGTCAGTCTGTTCACATTGCAAGTTGCTCCATAAACATACTTATCTATGTTCATGTTACCATAGTGGGTTATAGATCTACCCAGACTTCTAACTGCATTCCTATAACAATCATTTTCATTATTTACTTCTCTCCTAATATTATTCCTAATGCTAGACACATCCTACATTCTCCTTCTGGGTACTCTTCTTGGCTGACATATCAACTTTATCATGAAGGAGTAATCCAATGTGTGATGGGATCCATAGCAATTGTACATTAATTCCTTTGTCCCTGATGTTTGAGTATCTATACCTGGCTTCTCCAATGAGCATGTTGTTGGAGTCATTATATGAGTTAAGAGCATTCAGTGATGACATAGAATCAGTAATGATGACAGAGTCAAGCTCAGTGTCATAAGTTAGCTTTAGCGTCTAATTAGGATTGCAAACAATTCAGTTTGCAATGTAGAAGCCCAGTTGTTAATTCTTATGCCTAGTTCAACAAGTTTATTATCGCTCTTAACTAGGGAGGTGGCAACAAGAGCAGATGCAGCCCTGCCAGAAGACTCCTGTTTAGATCCATCAGTGTATATAACTTGTGATAATGTATTACTACCAGCTAGGTGGGAAATTTCTTCTTGAGCAGTTGCTTTGACAAGTGATTTAAGGAAGGGATTACTAGCAATGAGCTTCTTGGGAGGCACTTGCAGGTATGTGATATTAAATGAACACATCTTCCATGGAGGGGTGGAATGCTCTTGTCTACAATGATACAGTTCATGCAGGTTATAAAACTTAATGCAATTGCATGTTTTCACGATCCATTTAGATCTGTGTGCAGGGCCGGATTACCGCATAGGCAAACTAGGCATTTGCCTAGGGCCCCGCGCATTTGGGGGCCCCGCGGTCCAAGGGGTTCAGGGGCTCATCCAAGACTGTGCACATGGTGCAAGTGCAAAGGGGTCCCCACCTAAAAAGTTCAAGTGTTTGGAGAGTAAAATTGATTTTTAAAAATTAATCAAAACAAAAATAAATAATGAAATAAAATAAAATAAAAATAAATAAACCTAACCATAGATGGCAACAAATCAACACCCTTTGTTACATCAGAACAGCTGTGTTTTCCCCCCTAATGGGTGAGTATGGGAGATTCCTCTCCAATTTTCTGTAGTAATTACACGCTATCTAGACTTGTACTGTGACAAATTAACTGAAGTGATTTTGATAGACATTGATGTTATGATAAATGATTTGTTTTTTGCCTCTAAATGGTTAAGGAGGTACCTGTTAGGGTATACTTGACCATTAAAGACACATGGACCAGTAAGATGCATTTTTGGTAAAAATAACTATAAAGAAAAAAACTAAAAACGCAAACTGACTTCTCTTTTGTAGGTTTTAAAAGCATCTATTGTCCTGTCTTTAAGATTTTATCATTTTCTATAACAGATCTCAAATGATTGATGTTCTACATCCACTTCCGTCTCAAAATGCTTAGTTTTCAGTTTGCGACGGAAGTGACGTAGAAAACATCAATTAATTTACTACATATTTGCCCCAGAAACACATAAGGCCACATCAGAAATCGTTGTTGGTGAAAGCTGAAAATTGTCCCCAGCTTCTTTAATTCTCATGTGCCTTATCTATGGTGGTAGGGCCATATATCAAGCAAAACATAATGATTAGGTTTAGTCCATGAAAATGGAAAAAATACCATGTGCATTGTTTCTTGGAACTCAGTATGATTTCCTTGTATTTAAGAAAATAGTAGATCAAGGAGGATGAATTAGTAAAATATTCGTAGCCCAAATCACTAACTTAATCAATGGGTAAAAAGTTTCCTGTATATGACCTCCTTTCTGGTAACGGATTTGAATTTATTAGATGCGCAGCCATGAGGGAAAGGGGGCTACAAGGCCATACCCCCAAAATTGACAGACAAAAAAATTAAATAATAATTAGAAAATTAATAATAATTGATAATGAAAAATTTGTATTGGTATTTGCATGATTACATAAGTGATACATCCACAATTTGGCATCTCGTGAACGTGATGTTGGATGTTCTTATGCATTGTGTCACTTGAAAAGAAAGAAGAATATTCAAGAAAAAAAAAAAGAAAGATGTATGTGAAGCTGCAGAAAGATCACAACATGCTCACTAAAACAGTTTCTGATGTTACCAGAGTACAGTTGAATCTGAAGATACGTCAGACATACATGAACCCTCCCCTCCATTATTTCTTAGCAATCATCTATTCTTTTGTGTCTCCTCTTTCCCCATGTCTCAACGGAACATTTCATCCACCGGAATTTTGTCTTCAAAAGATCCTGCCTCATGGCACAAATGTAATCCCAAGATTCTCTACGTAATTGCTTTCATTGCAGAAAACATCAGTCAACTCTGAACATTTGGACTTTAGGAATCAGCAAGTTTTAGTGATAGAGGGAAGTCGTCGTTGTTTAAAGTCATCCAAATTTTTATAGGAAGCTTGCAAATTCAGAAACTGTTGAAAGATCCATGGATTTGGTTAACTCTGAAAGCACAGGAAAAGTGTACTGTTCAGCATGCACGGCTATTTTTCTACCAAAGAAAATACCTTCCACAGGGGTTCAATGACTGGTAAAATTCCAAGCGTTTCGAGGAACATGGAAAACAGCACCACTCACAGGAGCTGCATATTTAGCCAGTGTATTTTCCGTGCACAGGAAAAAAGTCTTATTGGATTCTCATTTGGAAAATCAAAGACTTAAAAAAGAGTGGCACTTATGGAGAAAAGTTCTAGAAAGAGTTGTAGCTGTAGTTTATAATTTCGAGCTCTAAGAGGACTTTGCTTTTCCTGGAGAAAATGAGGTATTTGTTTCGGAAAACAATTGGCAATTTCCTAGGGACATAGAACCTGTTAGCACAATTCGTTCCATACTTAAGCAAATCATGTTCACGCCTTGGGAAATGCAGAAGAGGCACTGTATCTTTACATGTCATCTACTATATGCAAAGAATTAATTGAACTGATGACTCAGAAGGTCCTCAATAACATCATGCATAGCTGTGAAAAACTTGCAAAATACTTGCAATAGTGTAGATTCAACACCGATATTTCACAGTACAGATCCATTGACATGTCATTGTTCTCTTTTGTCGACTCCATTGGTAATCCTGTAGAGGCTTTATAAAATTCATTGCCTCTTTCAGGCCATGATGGCGAAAAATGATTGAATGAGTACTGGATACTCTGGCTTGAACATGAATCTCTCTATTATGGGAATGTTGGTAGTATTTTTGATGGTATGTATTGTTGTTGAAGTTATTTGGGTAATATCAGTTTTTTATATTCAGGGCGGAGCCACTGCCAGAGCTACGACAATGCAAGGACATTTCGGTAAATATAAATGGATTGCAAGCCCGAGCGAAGCAAATCAACCCACATGCTGAATATGTGCCCTTCTCACACATTCTCTTTAATCTTGTTGGGTCATGTGCTGCAGAGTTTGTGTCGCTGCAGTTTCAATTTTTTGTGGATTTTACAAGCACTCTTTAATTTTTTTCCTCTGTCATCAACGCAACGGTGGAGTATACTCAAGTCAACCATTCATGGAGATGTCATCAAATCAATAATCAACAACAAGGTGGTCAGCGCAGCAGATGCAACACATGCCTTTTTTTTTTTTTTGGAAAGACAGCTTTGCTTGAAATACGTTTTGCTTGATCACAAATAGCTGAGGATGAAGACCAGCACAGCAACTACAAGAGCGAAGCTGCCAGCTTAGCATCAAAATTGGAAAATTTTGAATTGGCATTACTCTGTGTGCTTTGGGACTGTAACTGGATGGTTAAATGCCACGAACAAGACACTTCCAGAAAATTGAAATTGAAATGGCTACTTGTGGCTAACCTCTATGCAGGCTTAGTGGAGATTTTTAAGTCTCACTTTGGCAATGATGAAAGCTTTTGAAATGTTGAAGAGAAAGCTAAACTGCTGGGTGAAAGACTACAGTTCTGGCTGATCATCAGCTTTTCAAGGAAGAGGAAAACGCAATTTTGAAGAGCCAGACAATGAAATTGGTGTTGCTACAAAGGCAGAAATTGTAAGACTGCTTACATAACTTCGTCATTCGGATCACTGCTTACAGAATTGGGAAAAGAAAGAAATTTCCAGAATCTCAATGACAAGTTTTGGATTTCTGTTCAAAATACACTAACTATGCCAGATGCAGAATTGAGAGAAGCTGCACACCTTCAGAAGATGTTCAGGACACATTTAGTTGAGAAAAAGTTCATTTTTCTGGGGGGTTATGAATCAGATGTAAAGCTCCACAAAAAATGTGTTCCCTCAGGTGCTTTGAAACATTTAAGAAATGCAGTATCTCAGAAACCGTTCCTAATTTGACATAGTTATCGCCTTAACCTAAACCACTCCAGCTACTAACTGTTAAGGGAACGTTCATTTTTCTGTTTTGAAAAGTAGTGAAAACCAGCTCCGTTCAACAATAGCCAAGCAAATTGTGAACCTAGCCTTGTTGACCATGGAGTCTGATCTAACAAGAAATATTGAATTTGCAGAAAATGAATTGATATTTTGCCAATATGAAATCCAGAAAAAAGTTTATTTAAAGAAGTGCCTGTGAATATAATCAATTCTTCTTACTTCCTTGAGTTTTTATATGATTTGATGAGTCCTTATACATGATGCAATGATAAATAATGGTGCAGTGATTTTATAAAGGGAATAATAGTGCCGAAGTGGGTTATGCTTGAATAAATAGGTAGCAAAATTGTCACTACTTAAGCCCTAACTAGTAAACTATGCTGTCTGAGTTTATTCTCTTTAAAAATGCATGATTTAACAAGATATATATAATGGCTGTTGGTAAATGGTTTTGGTTGTCTTGATGTACTTTCCCTATTAAATTTAATCTAAATAGCCAGAATGTATTTAATTAGACCTTAAACAGGCTCACACCGACCCCCAACCCCCAAGCTGGAAGGGGTCGCTTCGCTTACCCGTAACTCAAAGGGGCCCCGCCAATCTGAATAGCCTAGGCCCTAGGGCCCGGAGACTTCTTAATCCGGCCCTGTCTGTGTATTTACTTCTAGACACTTAGTAAGGTTCATTGTGACAGTGTCTGGTTCATTTTTTAACATTCTAATACAGAGTACAGTGTTAATCTCAACAATCCTATCACTGATACTAGAAATACCAAGCTCCTTCCTCATATTAAGAACCTTTGTAGATCTGGGACACCAAGAATAATTCTGAGAGCTTCATTTTGCATTAACTCCAAGGGTTGGATGCTGTATAGCCCTTGTGGCTTAGCGCTTCTTTTTTATTATAATAATAATCCAAGGGTTGGAGAGAACTTTCTCTAGCTAATATAAACATGGGAGCAACATAATCAATTAAGGACCTAAGATAGGCTATGTACATCATTCTCACGATTTCTCACATTAGCACCGTAGTTGGGGCTCTGGATCCAGGGCTGTATAGCCCTTGTGGCTTAGCGCTTCTTTTTGATTATAATAATCTGGATTCCAGGGAATTTGAGATGGCCTTCCCATTCTTGAATCGAACCTGAGTGACTCCCATTCCCCAAGCGATGTACATCCCCAACAGATTTAGCGCTTCCCCTAATATCCTATTATACATGATATAACAGGATTGGTATATATTCTCACGTTTAGAGGATATTAGTTGAGAATAAGTAACTAAGCACAAGTACACAAATGCAATTATCATTCATTTGTAAATGCAATGTTTCTTGTGCCTATAACATCCTGCACTCTCAAGACCATTATTATTTGCATGTTAGGTACATAAACCTAAATGAAAGCTAACAATATACCAATGAAAGATAATCTCATTTTAGAAAACGATATTCAAATGGTGAAGAGAATCACACTGATAAAAACTGTTAGCGGTGACTTTATTTGCAAAAATAAACATTTACACGTGTAAAGGTGTTAAAAAAAGATGTAGTTTCGCGTATTTGTGAAGCTGAATCATATAAATGAGCAATTTTGCTTGGGAAGAGCTACCACGTGCCCACTGACCCCGTTGTAATGGCAAGGAAGCACTGGGTGCAAGAATTGTCTGCCTGACGTACGAATTATGTAGATTGCATAGATAAGAAAATTACTGTACATAGTTATTGTTTTTTATTATTAACACTTCTTTGATATTTATTTTCATGATGCTAAGATTCTAGATAGTGCCTATTTAAACAATTTTTGCACATGGAATTAGAAAAGCGGTACTAAAATTAGGCTATATTTTTCAAAAATGTGTTTGTCAAAAGACATAAGAAGACAAAATCAAAACATTTAGAAGTTTTATGCCTTTAATACCACATTGAAGAGGCCCATGTGACAAATACGAATAGGTGGCAACTAGGGTAGGTTTATCCCCGGCAGCAGCAGTGCTCAACCCGCTTCCTTAGTGAGTAAAATTCACTCACTCACTCTCACTCCACACACAGACTCTGTATTGTTCATGAGAGCTCCAAGACCCACTATATTCAATTGGCAAGATTTATAGTTAACCTGTCGAGTGCATGTTGAGTTCGTTAGTCTCGTGAAGACTTACTGAGATGTGTGAAGCTCTAGAACTGAGAGGAGAATGTGATAACCTTACTGAGTGATGAAGCCAGGCTAAGGGACTCGACTCTGCTGTTTCCACACATTTTTAAGGTTTTTTCGTACGCCCTAGTACAAGCCTGAGTTATGTACAGAAAAGTGAGGAGAAAGTCATCTGGAGCAAGTGTGGGAGAGTACCTATATACTATATAG